AGGAGGGGGAGGAAGAGGAGAAGGAGGGGGAGCCCCCTCCTCCCCATCCTCGGGACATCGACGTCGAGGATGGGGGGAGGGGGGAGGCAAGGAGAAAGGGGGGGGAAACCAGAGGCCTCCCTCAGTGGGGTTGGAGTAGGTGGGGTCGGAGGATCGCGCCGCATCGCCGATACATCGGCGATGCATCGGCTATGCTCCAGCGATGTATCGGCGCCGCCGGTGGTGCACTGGCGACGCCGACGTGAAGCAAGTCGGGCTCCGCATCGCTGTCTCACCTCGCAATCGCCAGATGGGACCACTTCGCTGTCTTGCACGCTTGCTGCCCAGAGCGCGAGGCCGCCGATCGCATCGGCGTCGCGCTGGGGTCGGCGGTCTCGGCGTGGAGACCAAGAGGGCAGAAGTGACCAGCGCCTGCGCGGGCCAGGCGCAGGTGATCTGCATGAGGGCTCGCAAGAAGGGCGCCGCGATGCCCGACATCGCTCAGGCGGCCCCATTTTCCTTCGAGGCGTGCTGCTCGGCGGTGGTCGGCGGGCTGTGGTCATAGCGGCGGGACTACGCCAGTGGACACTCGACAAGCTCGCTGTGGCCCTGTTCCGGGGCAGCGCAGGAGAAGGCCATACACGTGCTGGAAGACGTGGAAGGAGACCCGCTCCCCGCTTTCGGTCAACTGGGTCAGTGAGCAGTGAGGGAGCGGCCCGCCTCTGGGAGGATGTCGGAGATCTGTACGGAGGCCCTCAGAGGCCTCGAGAGGGCCTCAGAGGTTTGTATCCAAGAGAGGTCAGAGGAGGAGGATGAGGAGGAGGAGGAGGAGGAGGAGGAGAAGAAGGAGGAGGAGGAGGGAGGAGGGAGAAGGAGGACAAGGAGGAGGAGGAGGAGGAGGAAGGAGGAGGACGAGGAGGAGGAGGAGGAGGAGGAGGAGGGAGGAGGAGGCTGGATGTGCAGGCAGGCCGGTCCTTTTGTAGCCAGGAGTGCCCAAGAGGGGGGCCGCGGCGCGCCGAGGGCCGAGGGCGCCGAGGGGGAGCGTCGCGCTTCGCCGCCAGGCTGTGCGCCGTGCAGCTTCCACGGGGAGCTCTGCACGAACAACAAAAAAACGTATCCTCCTCCTCCTCCTCCTCCTCGTCCTCCTCGTCCTCCTCCCCTCCTCCTCCTCCTCCTCCTCCTATCTCCTCCTCCTCCTCCTCATCATCATCCTCCTCGTCCTCTCGTCCTCCTCGTCCTCCTCGTCCTCCCCTCCTCTCCTCCTCCTCCTCGTCCTCCTCCTCCTCCTCCTCCGCCTCCTCCTCGTCCTCCTCGTCCTCCTCGTCCTCCTCGTCCTTCTCCTCCTTTCCTCCTCCTCCTCCTCCTCCTCCTCCCCCTCCTCCCCCTCCTCCTCCTCCGCCTCCTCCTCCTCGTCCTCCTCCTCCTCCTCTCTCCACGGGGCGCCCAAGCAGTCCGACGAGGCCCCAATACACCCCAGCTACGAGTTAAGAATAGTCTAAGCTATGTAAGCGGACTTCACTCCAAGCGTTTCCTTAAGCAGCAGTCCAGGTCCAGACCTACGGGCATTGTACGAGCAAGAAGAAGCTCCATGGAAACGCCCAGGGTCCAGGCCAGATTCTTTACTCTCTCAAGCGAAATCTGGAGTCCATCGGAAATGCTTTTTTTGCTCATGAGTTTCCTCATGGGTGCACAGTAGGAGCTCGGCCACCAGAAACCTTCCACGAGAAGCCCAGCCCTGATGGGGCCCCAGGATGGCCCTGGAATAATGTCTGGTATGGGGGGGGCGCCACGCTCTCCGTGGCAGAAGCACCGAAGCCCAAGAAACCCAGGGCGCCCTGGAGGCAAGCAGCGTGCTTCCTGACATGAGCCCCCACTGTGGGAGCAGGAGGAGGAGGAGGAGGAGGAGGCGGAAGGAGAGGAGGAGGAGGAGGAGGAGGGAGGAGGGAGGAGGAGAGGAGGAGGAGGAGGGAGGAGGGAGGAGGAGAGGAGGGGGAGGAGGAGGGGGAGGAGGAGGAGGAGGGAGGAGGAGGAGGAGGAGGAGAGGAGGAGGAGGAGGAGGAGGAGGAGGAGGAGGAGGGAGGAGGAGGAGGAGGAGGAGAGAGGAGGAGGAGGAGGAGGAGGAGGAGGAGGAGAAGAAGGTGTTGCTTGGCATGGGTATCCACTGTACAAGCATTCTGGCTCCCCACCCACGGCAGCCCGAGGCGCCCCCCAGGAGCCACGCCTCAAGCCTCCGACATGGAGCTCTACGTGCGACCCACCTCGGGCACTCGACTGCCCCTGCTATTGCCGGAGCACTGCACTCTGCACCCGTAGACCCCGAGATTCGGCGGTGGACAAACCTCCCTTTAGTAAGCCTCCCTTTAATGAAAAACGGCCTAGGGCCGAAACCGACGGACCTGGACCCGATGACGGCCGCGACGCCCTCTCGCGAACCGAAAACGGCTCATTCGCTAATCGACGTGTCAGGGTAGGAGGTTTATCAACCTCCGAAAGATGTCCCCTGGGCAATCCCTGGAAACCGACAGTGGCACTGAATTGGCTCCGGGGCATGCCCCCTCCACAGGCATCCGACGTCGTAGGACAATCACGACGTCCTCAGAAGTCGCAACCAGACATCCCGCACCCGAAAATACGCAAGATCTTCCCCACCAGACCGATTCCTCAGGGCCCACAAAGCCTGAAACGAAGCGGAATCACTGCTGCTGTTGCTGCCGCGACGCGCGGACCCGAAGACTTCTCACCGTCCACTTCCTCCACAAGGCCGTCCACGGCGACAGCACCACCTAACATCGCGCCAAAACGACAGCGAAACCCATACCAGCGGACAGAGGGCAGCCCAGAAAGACGCAGCGCCGCAACAGCCGACCGAACCGAACCGCACCAAACGCAGCCGGCTGCGACGCAGCCGACCCGGCCGAACCGCGAACGCCCCCTGTCGAGCGTTGCTAAAGGTGCCCCTGGCTGGCCCAGGATGCCCCCAGATTCTCCCTCCATTTCGGAGCCGGGGCCCTCTGGGCCTCGCGAGGGGTGCTCTGGAGGCCGTGGGGGCCTCCTTGGAATTCCTGGGGGCACCTTGGGCCAGGGGCACTTCTAGCAACAACCGACCCTTGCATTAGGTTGGGCATGTCCTCCTACAGGCAGATTTTGGAGGCACAATACAACAAATGTTTTTATTTTAAGAAACAGCTCAAACATAATCAAACAATCAAATTCGCCGGCCCAACGGGCCAGAGGCGTGCTAAGATCTCCGGTAACTGCTCAACAATATTTCTAGTTCGCGCGCGCGGGGCGGGCCTTAGGGGTCCCCGGACGAAAAGTACCCCGGCAAGGTCCCGGCAAGGTCCCGGCAAGGTCCTGGCAAGGTCCCGGCAAGGTCCCGGCAAGGCCCCGGCAAGGTCCTGGCAAGGTCCCGGCAAGGTCCCGGCAAGGTCCCGGCAAGGTCCTGGCAAGGTCCCGGCAAGCCCTCCAGACGGTCCAAGAGTGCCGGGAGACGCCGAAATATCACTCCCAAACGCCTGCGATGGCCTCAAGACGGCCCAACAGGCCTTCAAGACGCCCCAAGAGGTCCCTAAGCGGCGCCCCAAGAGGGCTCCCACAAGCAAATATCGTCCCATTCCCTTAGGAAAACGTGCATTTTTAACGGCGGTCCAAGAGGCCCCCAAGATCACCCCAAGACGGCCCGAGAGACCCTCTAGACCGCTCAAAGACGGCCCAAGAGCGCTCCAAGAAGGCCCAAGAAACCCTCAAGAACTCTTTTTGGGAGCCCAGGAGGGCTCCAAATCGGTCCAAGAGGGGCCCGAGAAGCCCTCCAGACGGTCCAAGAGAGCCGGGAGACGCCGAAATATCACTCCCAAACGCCTACGATGGCCTCAAGACGGCCCAACAGGCCTTCAAGACGCCCCAAGAGGTCCCTAAGAGGTCCTTAAGCGGCGTCCCAAGAGGGCTCCCACTAGCAAAAGTCGTCCCATTCCCTTGGGAAAACGTGCATTTTTAACATATCCGCCTCTTCGTCTTTCACACCTTTCAAGGCGGTCCAAGAGGCCCCCAAGATCACCCCAAGACGGCCCGAGAGACCCTCTAGACCGCTCAAAGACGGCCCAAGAGCGCTCCAAGAAGGCCCAAGAAACCCTCAAGAACTCTTTTTCGGAGCCCAGGAGGGCTCCAAATCGGTCCAAGAGGGGCCCGAGAAGCCCTCCAGACGGTCCAAGAGTGCCGGGAGACGCCGAAATATCACCCCCAAACGCCTACGATGGTCTCAAGACGGCCCAACAGGCCTTCAAGACGCCCCAAGAGGTCCCTAAGCGGCGTCCCAAGAGGGCTCCCACAAGCAAAAATCGCTTCATTCCCTTAGGAAAACGTGCATTTTTAACATATCCGCCTCTTCGTCTTTCACACCTTTCCAGGCGGTCCAAGAGGCCCCCAATATCACCTCAAGACGGCTCGAGAGACCCTCAAGACGGCTCAAAGACAGCCCAACAGCGCTCCAAGAAGGCCCAAGAAACCCTCAAGAAGGTCCAAGAGGCCCCAAGACGGCCCCATGATTGAGGTCCACAGGGGCAACCTGAACGGAAATTTTGAGCCTCCCGCCCAAACACGCCCCCGAAATGCCCCTACAAGCCCCCAAGTAGCCCCACGAAGCCCCCAAGAGAGCCCCAAGAGGCCCCCAACAGGCCGCAAGAAAGCCCCAAGAGGCCCCCAAGAGACCCCCAGGAAGCTCCCAGGAGGCCCCCAAGAGGCCAGGCAGACCCCCCCAAGAGACCACCAAGAGGGCCCACCCAGAGCCATCCACGAGGCCTCCCAAAGTTCCCAAGAAGCTCCCACGAAGCTTCCAAAGGCCCCCAAGACCCCCCAAGACTCCGCGATGGCACAATACGGGCCGGCGGAATGAGCGAAGCGATTCAATAAAAATCGTCCCCGTACCACTTAAAAACAATTTGCAGATTCCCCCTGCAGAGGGACAGGCCCGACTTCACCCTTGCTCCCCGACCCCCCCCCTCTTGGCGGCCCCCCTGGCCCCCTGCCTCGGCGGCCGCGGGCGCGGGCGAGCCGCCCGCGCCGCCCCGCGCCGCGGAGCCGGGGTGGCTGGCCGCGCCTCGGGCACCCGCGGGGCCGCCGCCTGGGTGACCCGATGGGCCAGGGCACCGCGCCCGCCCCGCCCCCCCCCTTCCCTTCTCTTCTCGGCGGCGAGGGAGGGGGGAAGTCAGAGGGGGCGGGCCTTCTGAGAAGGCTCGGCAGTCCACCAGCCTTCGGAAAAGTGTTCTGGGCCGTCCCCGAAGACACAAGAAGCTTCTCCGAAGGCGCGGGGGCTTCTGAACGTCCCGCCGCCTTCTGAGAAGGCCTCCTGCTCGTCCTCCTCGCCTCCTCGTCGTCCTCCTCCTCGTCGTCCTCCTCCTCCTCCTCCTCCTCCTCTTCCTCCTCCTCCTCCTCCTCCTCCTCCTCTTCCTCCTCCACTTCCCCCCCTCGCTCGCCGCCGATCTTCGCTCCGTTTCCGAACCAGCTCGCCGCGTGCTCCTGTGGGGAGACACGGGCACAACGTCGTGATCTGCTCACAGCCTCGACCCCAGAGGTCTGGACCCCTCCCCTGGGGACCGAACCGGCTTTTCATGCTGAGCCGTCTTGGACAGTCCCGAGGCCCAGCGAGGGCAACGGGAGTGGCCGAAAGCAGCGAAAAACCTCCCGTCGTGCTTTTGTTCACGACGCGAGGGGTTCTGGCCACCCCCCTTCCCTTCTCTCCGCTCCGCTTCCGAGCAGCGCGGCGCGCGCTCAAGGAATCCAGGGCCTGGAGGCCGGTGTAACTCCGCTCGAAGCTTGGCCATGGATATCACCGCCGCCCTCATCGGGTAAGGAATCCTCCAGGGTTTGCAGCATCCTGGGCGCATTCCTTAACCAACGCCCTCACCGTATCGTCCCTCCCTCCGAAGGCGCCGTGCTGCTGACAGCGGCACCCCCTCTGCTGCGTCGGCGCCCCCTCTTCCCTCTCCTTGCCCCCCTGCCCGTGCCGTCTCTCCCTTCCGGGGGAAAAAGAGGCGGAGGAGGAGGAGGAGGAGAAGAAAGCAGAGGAGGAGGAAGAAGAGGAGGGGGAGGAGCTGGAGGGAAACCTTAGGCCGGTCTGACGTAAAAAAATAACCGGCAAAGCACGAAAGAGGTCCCCATGAGGGTCTCTGGGTGGAGGTGTAGCGACCCAGCGGGGCTTCCCGCCGCGGCGCGAGGGCTCCCCAGAGGAGGCCCCGAGAAAGGCGGAAACGAGCGTCTTTCTCCCCCGATTCCCTAGGCAAAAGTGGCCCTTGGTGCGCAGGACGCGGCTTTCGCATCGCGTTCCAGCGTCCAGGGGCCCCACGTGTGCCCGCACCAGATGTCACTCTGGCGAAAGGTTGCCACGTGCAGCCGATCCGATTCCTCCCCTCCCTCCTCCTCCTCCTGCTCCTCCTCCTCCTCCTGCTCCTCCTCCTCCTCCTCTCCTTCTCCTCCTCCTCCTCCCTCCTCCTCCTGCTCCTGCTCCTCCTCCTCCTCCTCCTCCTCCTCCTCCTCCTCCTCCTCCCCCTCCTCCGCCTCCTCCTCGTCCTCGTCGTCCTGCTCTGCTCCTGCTGCCTCCTGCTCCTGCTCCTCCTCCTCCCCTCCTCCTCCTCCTCCTTCTCCTCCTCCGCCTCCTCCTCCTCCTCCTCCGCCTCCTCCTCCTTCCGTCCTCCGCTCCTCCTGCTCCTGCTCCTGCTCCTGCTCCTGCTCCTGCTCCTGCTCCTGCTCCTGCTCCTCCTCCTCCTCCTCCTCCTCCTCCTCCTCCTCCTCCTCCTCCTCCTCCTCCTCCTCCTCCTCCTCTCTCCTCCTCCCTTTCCCGCCTGCCCTCCTGCACTGGCCCGGTCGCCTGGAGGGGCCCCGGCCTCCTTCTTCCAGCGCGGGGGCCTCCTCCGCCCACCGCCCGCCGGCTCGGGCTGCGCGAGGGGAGGCTCCGGCAGCGCGTACCTGCGGGCAGGGTGACGGGGGAGGAGGGAGGGAGGGAGGAGGGAGGAGGCTGGAGGGAGGAGGGAGGGAGGGAGGGAAGGAGGGAGGGAGGGAGGGAGGGAGGGAGGGAGGGAGGGAGGAGGGCGAGGGGGAGATTGCGGTTGGCTAGCTCGGTGGGCGGTCTTGTCCGCGGCCGGCTGGGCGCGGCAAGGCCCAACCCCCGAGGGCCAGACGAAGAACTGTTGAAGAAATGCAGCTGCTGGACCAGCGCAGGGCCAAAAGAATTCATTGCTGCACTTTGCGGGTGCAGTCCTGGCCAGGACATCGGCAGGCTGGTGGCTCGCAAGGAGTACTGAGGTTACTAAAGACAGACATGTTTGCCAGTCGCTGTTTGAATTGTACGTGTTTGCCTTGCAGTGAGCTTGGCCTTCGCTGCCGCCTGATACGCGGCGCTAGTGGCAAGCTGAAGCAAGGTTAGGGACGGGACATGATGGGAACCGAATAAGGAAGGGAATGGCGAAGGGTTAATCAGGAGTCAACTCCTGGGGGGTCTGCGTGGGAAGAACCAAGTGCGACTAAGTCTGTGTAGGGGGCGAGAAAACAAATCCCAACTAGATTCGGCCAATGATTGAGCCAGATTAAGCGAGATTAGGCTGGATCGGGTTACTTTTCGACAACGGATATACCAGTGCCTTTGCTAAATGTAACCTGGCAGGAGTTGCATCCTAACGAAGGTTGTTGGCGAGGGGGAGTGGCGGGTGGGAGTGGCTCTTCCTGCCGCTACTGCTCCTTGTCCTCGTCCTCCTCTCCCATCCTCCCCCATCCTCCTCCACTCTCAAAAACCTCGGGTCCCTGGCAATAACGAGACAACCCCGTTTATGATGGAAAACGTTCGATATTCGAACCGCCACTCTATCTCTGATACGCTGTATTTGAATCGCAAGTTACATCGTCGGCTTATGCTACATTGAGCATGCAACGGTTTTGGTGTAATTACCTTGAGTTCACGTGCAAGGCATCGCCTTGCTTTAAACGTCGCATGATACGACAATGCCTTCATTCACTTGGGTTGTGTCTGCAATGTGAATACCGCGCGGCTTCGTGTTACGTTGCGCTGCGTTGCTTCGCTTCGCAGTGCTTTGTTCCGAATTGAGGTTAAAATATTCGATGTGCTTTGTTTTGGAATGAGGCGCAGTACAACGCATTGCATCACACGTGTTTTCCGCTGCCCTCAACTGCACTGCGTTGCACCACATTGCACTCGCAGCGCAATGAAGAACAATCGGGGTACAATGCATGTGTAAAGACAACGCAGTGTAGTGCGATGGGCTGCACATGCATGCAAAGGCATGAAGCAAGCCACCGTGCGCTGCCAGTCAAGTGCAATGCAACGCAAAGACACGCAAGGCAAGCAGCACGAATGCGCTGCAGCCCAAAGACATGGAATGCGATGCATTGCGGGATAACACACTGAAACGCAAGACAATGCGAAGCAGTGCGAGGCAGCGCAACACGCACAACGCAACGCAATGCAGCGCAATTCGCTGCAACGGCGCAGTGCTAGGCGAAGCAATGCATACGCAGTGTAGTACAGTGCGCCACCATCCAAACCAGTGTAAAAAGCAACGCTGCGCGGTGCAGCGCAACGCAATACAATGCGTGGGAACACCATGCAAACACAGGCTGTGGGAAGGGGGGAGGACATGCTGGCAAGGCGAACGAAGGGAGAGGGAGCTGGGGGAGAGGGGCGTAGCGGGCGAGTGCAGCGGGGGATGGGAGAGGGAGGGCGGGCCGCCCCCTCCACCGCTCTCCCTCGCCCTGGCCCTCCCACGCGGCCACCCAATCCCCCTCCTGCCCTTTGCCCCACCCTGCGGGCAAAACTTCTACCCATCGGTCGGAAGAAGTACGTAGAAACATGGAGTAGGAAGGCGCTGGAAGTAGATTGGGTGTCCGCTCGCCCCCTGAAGAGGACGGAAGAGGTGAAGCCACTCGATCATTGAAGTAGGAAGGCGCTGAAAGTAGATTGGAATCTGGGAATCCAAAAATACCTACTTTCAACGACCGATGGGTATCCATATCCGGAGCGTTTTGGACTTTTGGGGAAGGGGTGCCGCAAGGCCGAGGCGCACTGGATTTGGATACACATCGAGCCTTTTGGGGCCAGACGTTTATCCATGTCCAGCGCGTCTCCGGGTTCTGGGGAAGAGAGCCCAACACTCCAAGACGCACTGGATGTGGCTATGACTACTGCCCTCTCCCCCTACCCCTCCCCCCTAAAACTCGCCCCTCCCCCCGAACAGGAGCGGCATGTGCTCATGGACCTCCCCTTTGTCTACCCCTGGGGGGCGCCCAACCCAGCCACTGCCGTCCGCGGCCTCCTCGGCGGGGGCGAGCGGGTCGGGGACACATCCAACGACCTCCGTCCCATACGGCTCTGACCTCCTTCTCCTCCTCGTCCTCCTCCTCCTCCTCCTGGTCCTCCCCGTCCTCCTCCTCCTCCTCCGCCTCCTCCTCTCCTCCTCCTCCTCTTCCTCCTCCTCCTCCTCTTCCTCCTCCTCCTCCTCTTCCTCCTCCTCCTCCTCCTCCTCCTCCTCCTCCTCCTCCTCCTCCTCCTCCTCCCCCGCATCCTGCTACAATGAATGGGTACCCATACCGCTACCACTACAACTCGCACTGTTTCAACTGCGGCTAACCATTAGGCTCTGAGGAAGAGGAGTTCGCATGCACATGATCTCCATTCGCCAAAGCTGATGTAATAGTGCGAATTGAAAGGTCGCCAAGCACACCAGGAATTGCACACGAGCCGATCTGCAATAGGCAACCTCACGCGATGAACCATGGCCTGAGAAAACTAACAGATGTGCAATGAAACACCGCACGGACGAGGAAGAGAGAATGGGGAAGATAATGGGAGAAGCAGAGGAGATCAGACACCAGCCTGGTGACACGAAGCCCCACCTGAAGCGTATCAGCCCGAATGGCACAAGCGGCCGCGGCTAGATTCCGACGCAGCATGTGACAGGAGGTGGAGAACGCGGAGGACGAGGAGGAGGAGGAGGCGGAGGAGGATGAGGAGGAGGAGCAA